ACAGGTATCGGGTAAATACAGTCATTCCAAATGGGAGAAATTGGCCAAAACAAAGGGGTTACAGGGCCCATGCAAGTCCAAAATCCAGCAGGGCAGTAACATTTTAAAGCTCCAAAATGATCTCCTTTGACTCCAGGTCTCACATTCAGGTCACACTGATGCAAGAGGTGGGTTCTCATGGTCTTGGACAGCTCTGGCCCTGTGGCTTTCAGGGTACAGCCTCCGTCCTGGCTGCTTTCATGGGCTAGTGTTGAGTGTCTGCAGCTTTTCCAGTCACCTGGTACAAGCTGTAAGTTGATCTGCCATTCTGGGGTCTGGAGGATGGTGTCCTCTTCTCACAGCTCCACTAGGCGGTGTCCCAGTAGGGACTCTGTGTGGGGGCTCCAACCCCACATTTCCCTTCTGCACTGCCCTAGAAGAGGTTCTCCATGACAGCCCTGCCCCTGCAGCAAACTTCTGCCTGGACATCCGGGCATTTCCATGTGTCTTCTGAAATCTAGGCAGAGGTTCCCAAACGCCAATTCTTGACTTTTGTGCACCTGCACGCTCAGCATCACATGGAAGTTGCCAAGGCTTAAGGTTTTCACCCTCTGAAGCCATGGCCCGAGCTTTATGTTGGCCTCTTTCAGTCATGGCTGGAGTGGCTAGGAAACAGGGCACCAAGTCCTTAGACTGCACACAGCACAAGGACCCTGGGCCCTGCACACGAACCCTTTTTTTCCTCCTAGATCTCCAGGTCTGCCATAGGAGAGGCTGCCACAAACATCTCTGACATGCCCTGGAGACATTTTTCCCATTGTTTTGGAAATTAACATTCAGCTTCTTGTGACTTACGCAAATATCTATAGCCAGCTTGAATTTCTCCTCAGAAAATGGGATTTTCTTTTTTATCGCATTGTCAAGCTGCTAATTTTCTGAACTTTAATGCTCTGCTTCCCTTTTAAAACTGAATGCCTTTAATAACACTTGAGTCACCTCTTGAATGCTTTGCTGCTTAGAAATTTCTTCCACCAGATACCCTAAATCATCTCTCTCAAGTTCAAAGTTCCACAAATCTCCAGGGCAGGGGCAAAATGCCACCAGTCTCTTTGCTAAAACATAACAAGAGTCACCTTTGCTCCAGTTCTCGATAGGTTCCTCATCTCCACCTGAGACCACCTCAGCCTAGATTTCATTGTCCATATAATTATCAGTATTTTTGTCAAAGCCATTCAACAAGTCTTGAGGAAGTTGCAAACTTTCCTATTTTCTTGTCTTCTTCTGAGCCCTCCAAACTGTTTCAATCTCTGCCTGTTACCAAGTTCCAAAGTTGCTTCCACATTTCCCAGTATCTTTTCAGCAACACCCTACTCTACTGGTACCAATTTACTGTATTAGTTCATTTTCACGCTGCTGATAAAGACTTGCCTGAGACTGGGAAGAAAAAGAGGTTTAATTGGACTTACAGTTCCACATGGCTGGGGAGGCCTCAGAAACATGGCAGGAGGTGAAAGGCACATCTTACATGCTGGCCGCAAGAGAAAATGAGTAAGACGCAAAAGCAGAAACCTCTGATAAAACCACCAGGTCTCGTGAGAGTTATTCACTACCATGAGAACAGTATGAGGGAAACTGCCCCCATGATTCAGATTATCTCCCACTGGGTCCCTCCCACAACATGTGGGAATTATGAGAGTACAATTCAAGATGAGATTTGGGTGGGGACACAGAGCCAAACCATATCAGGTTGTTTGGGTTTCCACATTTTAACTCTGTGTATAATGCTGCACCCAAGATAACTCCTCCATTCCATGAATGGGGGCTATGCATCAAGAGAACTTTAACAAAGAAAGCAAACTCATTTTTGAATTTTAAGATCACTCTGGCATTCTGTTTTGAGGTCTGCTAAATTTACAATGCTGGGTGAAGATGACTTCACAATAAAACCAATGTTGAAAGACACCAAGAGACTGTAACTAGTTGAAATTTCATTTTTCCTTTATAATTTATTTGCCACAATTTTAAATACTGTAGACCATACAGAATGTTTTTTCTGCCCAAAAATGGGGGTCTGTTAACAGACTCAGTCCCAACCTCGTTCAGGACAAGCTCGCGTCATTCAGAAGTAGATCACAGAGCAGGTTGCACCCATGCCTTTGCCAGCATAAAGAAGTTGACTCTTTGGGGGTATCAAGGCTCCTCTCATGTTCTGTCACATTAAGGTAAAAACTGGGAGACCATAGCAAGGGCCCCTATCTAGACAAAACCTGATCATCTTATCTTGGACAAATTTCTCTGTTCTTTCTATAGCTTGTGGTAGACAAAATGTGCCCATCAAAGATGTCAACACCCAAATACCTGCAACCTTTGAATATATTATATAGGAAAAGGGACTTTACAGCTATAATTAAGATTATAGATTTTTAAAATAGGAAGATTACCCTGGATATCTGGGTGGGTCCGATCTAACCACATGAGATCTTAAAAGCAGTGAACTCTCGCTAGGGCAAGAAAGATATGGCAGAAGGGGAATTCAGAGAGATTGAAAGCATGAGATTCATCTACCAATGCTGAAGAGGCCCACAGGGGAATTCAGAGAGAGTGAAAGCATGAGATTCATCTACTAATGCTGAAGAGGGCCACACAGAAAGTATGAGGAGGAATGTGGGCAGATTCTGGAAACAAAGACTAGCCCATAGCTAACAGCCAGCAAGGAAATGGGGAACTCAGTCCTACAACTGCAAGGAACTGAACTGAAATCTACCACCAACCTAAATGTAGTTGAAAGAACTCTTATCTAGGGACTTCCCCTTACAGTCTCTAGCTAAGAGCCCAGCTCAGTTGACAATCTGATTTCAGCCTTGTGAGGCTTTAAGCAGGGGACCCAGTTGAACCATATTGTACCTAGATTTCTGTGCCATGGAACTGTGAGATAATAAATGGGTGTTGTTTTAAGCTACTAAGTTTGTAGTAATTTGATCTAGCAGTAATAGAAAATTAATATGTAAACCTTTTTTTTTTTAAAAAAAAAGCAGAATTTGCAAGCAAATGTGACTTTGAGCATAATTCTTTTTCTTCATTGCAAATATGTGATGTAGGAGTCTTTGAGTTATTTGCTTGAGAATAACAGTGATAAACTATACTTCTATCTGTGCTCCTCAGTATTTGGTTGCATTAATTGGAAGACTGAGGTTCTACTTAGGGGATTTTTTCCTCCAAGTCCTTCTAGAATACCCTAGAATGGAGAATGAATTTTAGGAGATCAGGACTGCGGCATGAAGATGAATTATCAAGCTACTGTACTAATCCAGCTGAGGGATGATAGGACAGGGTTAGCTGGTATGGAAGAGTCAGACTGGAGAGGGGGACATTTATGTTGATTCCTAATTGTTCAAGAATGGCTTACTAGGTGGACGGTGGGGTGGTAAGGAGGAGGTAAATGGATATTGAAAACTGAAGCTCTGCTGATTCTCAAATTAGTCACTCCCATTTGGGAATTAACATGTAAGTTGATAAAATCATGTCAGTGGAGATTACCCAGGAGATACTTATGGATTTTTTTTAAAATATAAAACATAAAAGGAGGAATGAGGAAGTATTACATACAGCGATTAATAGAGAGGAGATTCTGTTGCTTGGGACTGGAGAGAGAAAAATGAAGAGGCTTAGAAAAGATGAGAAAGATGTTGGCTAAATTAGATTTGATACGTCGCAAATGAACTTAAAAAAGTGGTATATGGTCTCTTTTTGTATTAGTCAATTTTCACACTGCTATAAAGAACTACCTGAGACTGGGTAGTTTATGAAGAAAAGAGGTTTAACTGACTCACAGTTCTACACGGTGGGAGAGGCCTCAGAAAACGTACAATTATGGTAGAAAGCAAAGCAGCAGCAAGGACCTTCTTCATAAGACAGCAGGAGGTGGGGAGGAAGTGCCACACTTTTAAACCATCAGATCTCTTAAGAACTCACCATCACGAGAACAGCATGGGGGCAATCACTCCCATGATTCAATCACCTCCCACCAGGACCCTCCCTCGACATGTGGGAATTACAATTTGAGATGAGATTTGGGTGAGGACACAGAGCCAAATCACCTCACCCTTAGATGGAAATAAAATAAGTAGTGGGAAGGCATGAAGCTAGAAAAAGTTCTTGTTAGCTACCAGCGAACACTGCCAGTCCAGGACAGCTAGATTCCTGTCTTTGTGAATAATGATGATGGTGGAATTGGCTACAGAAGACAGAGGCACAGGGAAAAGTGATAGTGTTCAAACCAGCTATGTGCACATAGGAAGCTTCACAAGCTGGTGTCTGTAGTTTGGGGAATATTAATATTGTGTTCCTCTTGGGTATATTATTCATTCAGTAAAAATTTAGCTATTTATAAAATCATTTACAGAGAAATTGGAGATTCTTTCAATCTCCTATTTCTGTGAAAACATTGCAGTTGTACTAAGACTGAAAAATCCTAGTTAGCTTATACAGGAGCTACCTATGCATTGAACAGTTTCCTCATGAAAAGCTCCCAATGAGTATTCTTGATACCCTCTGCTGATCTGAATCTGTGAAAGTATTTGACAGTTGCACAAAGCAGCAGAGAGAGAAAATAAGTTGCCCACACACAAGAACCTAAGAGGGCTCCCTGCTGAACCACCAGTTGTGGAGAAAGCAGCCAACCAGGGGAAGAACCATTCAGGACAGAATGTTCCTCTTTTTTTCCAGCTGATTTAGATGGACTAAAAAAGAATTAAAATTCAATCCATTCCAAAGCACCAAATAATAATTTTAGGAACTATGTGGAACTAGATGCTATACTTTCACTCCCTTTCCTAACGTCTTTGTTTTTGGCTAAGAATAAAAACAGCTGTCAAGGTTCCCTCTCTGAAGCTCTGTTAACACACCTAGTCCAAAGGCGCATGTGTGTCATCTCTCTAATATATTTTATTGCTGTCTTTTAAAATTCCCCTTAAGACGCTGGCCCAATATTGTTGCATTCAACCACATTTCTATCACAAGGATTAAAAAGAACTTAAGTATAATTTTATTCTATTCTGCATCAGTGCCATATACACACAAAAAAATGTTTAGATAAGTTAATAAGTTATAACATTCTATGTTTTAATATTAATAACAAGGACATAAATGATCATTTCCTGAGTTAACAGTGCAATGTAAATTTAATCTGTATTGCTAATAAGACATTTTACAGCATAGAAACATGATCGAAGTGATCATTTACTTTATCATGTCATAAAACACAAGTGCTTATTGTAGAACAGTGATATAATTTAAATGGCAAGGAAATTTGTGATTCATAACAACGAATCCTGTATGTATTTGTTGCCATGATTAACTGTCCAGGTCAAATATCAGTAGTAAAATAAGTTATGGTACAAAAGAAAGCCAAGAAGTTAGAAGGAACATTTGATTTCATTTAAGAAACTGAAGCCTGGATTCTAGTTAACCTTTCATTATGTACAAAAATGTTCTCTTAAAAAACCCTAAGCAATCACAAATTTAGATAAACTAGTTGAATAAAGGACAATGACAGCTCTTCATTATGCTGTAAAACTATGGATCTCATTTTTGGAAAAGTTGAGATCCTGCAGCAACCTGAAAAACAAACAAAAAGCACATGTTTCTAAGGGAAAATGTTTTAAAATGAAGGAATAAGAGCAGCTTACCACCATAATCATGATACTTTTTCATTCTCCCCATTTACTATGCAGTTTTGTTTAATAAAAAAACACTATCACTTCTTAAAAAATTAGTGATTAGTAACTCCTAAATATCATGAAATATCTAAGCAGTGCTCAAATTTTCAACTATATCATAAATGCCATAATTTTAAAAAATAGTTTCAATCAAGACCCAATTAAAATTTACTCATTATGATTGGCTGATAAGTCTTTCAGGCATCTTTTGATCTATAAGATCCCCCAGATGCCCACTCCATCCTGCAATTTATTTGTTGACAAAAATCAGATTTTTATTTGTTGAGTCTCCTAAAACCTTCATTTTTCTACATCCCTGTGGTATTGCTTAATAATATGTATCTACGTCCTCATATTTTCCATAACTTAATAAATGGATCTAGAGGCTTGATCAGACACAGGTTCAAATCTTTTTGACAAGACTATTTCATAGGTAATGTTCCTCTATCTGGAGGCATGTAATAAATGGTTGCCTCTCTTTTTGGATGCTAGGTACCATTATGATCTATGTATAGATCCATTAGTTAATTAAGCACTGCAATTGGTGATATTCTACTTCTATCATTCTTTATTCATTAATCAGCTGAGGAATCCTATAAAGAAAAATGTCTGCTGATTTATTATGTGGTTATTCAGTAGTATGGCTCATATAGCAAAGGGAGCATAAATGTTTGATTTTTTCCCCCTTTATTCACCAGTTTTCAAAGAAAGGAATTGATTCCCCTACTACTCTATCTTCATTCTCCCCCTACTGAACAGAAAAAGTAGAAATATTGCATATTATTCAACTAGGAAAATAGTACAATAACTACTTTTTTACCAATTACTCTATTATATGTAGTCACTTTGCTAGGCACTTCACATACTTATGTATTATTATTTATTCATTTTTACAGACAAGTGCACTAAAACTTAGAAAGGTTAAGAACTGCCCTAGGACACCCAGCAAATGATTGTAAGATGCCTGTAAGTGGTAGACCTGGGATTTAAACTCCAGCTGGCAGCTCCCAGAGGGGATACACATACTCACACAAAGGGCCAGTAGGGCATAGGAGTTGAGGCCAACACAGTGCAGCAGTAAAGCCTCTCAGTGTCTGGGCCCATGCTACCATTCTGTCCTGTTCTGCCAGGCAAGCAGCCTCACCCGAGCCAAACCAGTCTAGGCTTTTGTATAAATCTGCACCCCTAATGCATCTGCTAGTTCTCTCTGCCTGTACTATCCCCTTCTCCATCTCTCTTGACTGCTAGATTTTAGTCCACACGCAGTGCACATGACTTTTTTGACCATGCAGCTCCTGTCTCTCCAACACACACATCGCTAGGTAAAAGTAACCCATCTCTCCCAGAATTCCCATTACATCTTGATTTTTATCTCTAGTAAGATATCTATGGTGTTCTGAGTCATACTTTAGTTATCAGTATGCGCATCTGTTTCTACCACTAGATAGTGTGGTCCTTGAAAGGAGAGATTGTTTTACTAATCTCTGTAATAAAGTGCATATTTAGTGGATAAAGAACCATTATTGGCCAAGTAATGATAAGCTGCTTATCTCTATTTTTTAAAAAATAGGTATTCTGAGTCTTTCTCTGTTATCATACTATACAAATTGACAAATGTTTACCAAATATGGAGAATATGTCTGGGATGGCTATATTTATAATATAATCTATGTAGCAGACATGAGATTAACTTTGGAGAACTCTAGGAGTGGACATTACAAGAAAGACTCATTTTTCAGAACAGCAAAAACTATAATAAGAAACCCATATAATTGCCAATCAAGAAAAATATACCACATCCATTAAGATGATGAGGATAAGGAAACCAAAGAAACGAGTCCTAACTGAAAGTCACAAGGGTAGCTACTATGAATTTTAAGTACTGATTTGAATCAAGTTACATCTCAAAATGCAACTCTATGTAGTATGTTCAGGAGTGAGTAATAGCAGGAATCCATATGTAATGATTAATAAATACTCCTGAGCAACTCTGGGTAAGCCAGTTAGCACAGCATTGAAAGACTGGCTCTGAGGTAAAAGTGAGAAAAGAAAGCTATATAGGTTCTGGTCAATTTTTTTTTTTTGAGATGGAGTTTCACTCTTGGTGCCCAGGCTGGAGTGCAATGGCATGATCTCAGCTCACTGCAACCTCTGCCTCCTAGGTTCGAGCGATCCTCCTGCCTCAGCCTCCCAAGTAGCTGGGATTACAGGCACCCACCACCATGCCCGGCTAATTTTTGTACTTTTAGTAGAGACGGGGTTTCACCATGTTGGCCAGGCTGGTCTCGAACTCCTGACCTCAGGTGATCCACCTGCCTTGGCCTCCCCAAGTTTATGGTCAATTTTAAAAATGCAAAAATGATTCTAATTATTTAAAAGTATTATTATACTGCAATCTATAAAGTACTCACTGAGATATTTCTAAAATCGCAGAAGCAATACAGTAGAAGACAGTACAGCTCTTAGCCTTTTTTCCTAAAAATTTTATATTCAAACTGTATAATGTTAGTTTTCATTATAAATTTAATAGTTTTGCTAGAGCTTTAAAAGAGCAAAGGTTTACATTGAAACTTGAAAAATCTTTTTAAGTTGAGAGAGTTTAACTAAAAGAACATTTTTCTTAAAGCATTAAAACACAGAAATATATTTAATTAAAAATAAAATACATTTTAAATTCAACATAGAAGAAAAAAAGTTTTTAATGCCTTTATTTATTGATTGGGGGGTCAATCTTTTCTATAATTAAAATTTTAAATAAAAAAGCAAGATATAAGACTATCTATGAGGACTAAACTGATTTTTTTTTTTATCTTGCCCAAATTCCTATCTAAGGGGTCTAGGAAGTCATGCCCTACAAACTATAAATTCTCATCAGATGTGTTTTATTTAACCCTATATATCATGACTTACTTTCCAACCTGACTTTGGCATAACATTACGAGACAAGGAAGAAAATCAAAATATTTTATCCCAAAACAAGTTTCTTTGCCATATCTTGAAATGGCGCTGCAAATCTGTCCTTTGTGGGGGAAAATCTGCATCTGTAAAGAATCCTATCAACATAGCTAGATCTTTTTGTTCCCGGCCAGTCCAATTCTGAAGAGGTTAACTAAGAGTCTAGTACCTTTTAAAGGTCTGAATAGGCAACACTGTCATCTATTATCTCTAAGGGCAGCCACTGTAAGACTTCCAAAGAACCTTGGTCTCCACAATCTTTTATCTTAACCTGAACATTCCCTTTCTATGGATCTCAGGTCTTTAGACAAACTCAACCAATTGTCAACCAGAAAATGTTTAAATTTACCTATAGCCTGGAAACTTGTGCTCCCCGGCAACCCAGATTTGAGTTGTTCTGCCTTTCTGGACCAATCAATGTATTTCTTAAATGTATTTGATTGATGTCTCATGCCTCCCTAAAATGTATCAAACCAAGCTGTGCCCTGACCATCTTGGGCACATGTTCTCAGGACCTCCTGAGAGCTCACAGGCCATGGTCACTCATCTTTGGCTCACAATAAATCTCTTCAGAGATTTTGGAGAGTTTGACTCTTTTCGCCAACATCTAGAAATGTTAGGCTTAGTCACCTGCTAAATAAGAATAGGGCACTTAAAACAGCTATGTTTTAAAATCATCTAGAAATCCAACAGGGGCTACCTTTAACCAAATATTTTAAAGTGGCATTTTAAAGCTAAATCACATCAAAGTGAATTTCAAACAGGATCGCCACCACCACTGCTTTTTCATGATCCAGGCTTCAACTATTAGTCTTGCCTTATTTGTGTTCTAGTCTCCCCTTTGTCTTGCTGCTTGGCTTTTGACCACATACATTACTTACTAACTTTCACTCAGTTACAGAGAATGAAGATCAAAAGCTACAATGAGATGAACATTCCTTATTAATTACTACATATTATAAAGCTCTGATGGAAGAAGAGGTTGGGCCTAATGTCCCAAATAAGATTGTGGCACCAATCTTGTGAGTGTATCCATGTTGGCAGCCATTAGCAGAGAACACTGATTGCTAGCTGTAACTTACTTCTGTGTTTTATCTAACAATATGCATAATCCTAGCCTCTAACTCAAACTATACGAAGATTTAAAGACTGTTATTTTCTAAAACTGTAAGATTATTAAAGTGCAGGTTCATATAAATAGGAAGAACTGAGAGATATTTGTCATGAAAGATCTTCATTTCAGTATTGGGCAGTCTGTTTCCTACTACACTGCTACTCACCTTACTCCTTGTTCTGTAAATGGCACTGGTCCACAAATGCAGACGAGAACTTTGGATTTGTCCAAATTTCTTTTCAAAAATTCAGAAAGAAGAGCTGGTGAAATATGTCCCTGTTTGCCATTCCATTCAGAAATAGGTGCTGAGAGAACAAATTCAACATCCAGTCTACGGAAAAGAAAAACAGTTTTTTAAAGTTTATTATTTTAAACATATCATTAACATGTTTCAAGTTCAATAATATATTTCTCCCCTAAAGAATAATTTAATATATAAAGATTGATACACTTGCTAGAAAAACACTGAAAAAAATTATAAGATTTAACAAAAACATATAGGTAAATCTATATTTGCTAAGGATTAGCTTTTCCTATACAGTAAGGAATGTAATTTGGCATTTTTTTTTAAGTTGAACTAAGTAACCAAGCATGGTAGCTCACACCTGTAATCCTAGCATGCTGGGAGGCCACAGCGGGAGGACTGTTTGAGAACAGGAGTTTGAGATCAGCCCGGGCAACACAGTGAGACCTAGTTTCTACAAAAAACAAACAAACAAAAAAACAGAAAACCCCCCCAAAAAACAAAAACAACTGTTTAAACTTAGCCAGGTGTGGTGGTATGTGCCTATGGTCCTAGCTATTTGAGAAGCTGAGGCAGGAGGATCGTTTGATCCAGTGAGCTATGATTGCACCAGCCTGGGCGAGAGAGCAAGAACCTGTCTCTTAAAAAAGAAATTAATTAAAAATAAATATATAAATGAAATAGAGATTTCAAGGGATCTCAGAGAACTCCACATTTCTATTAATAATTTACTGGTATTGAAAAAAAAAGAACAAATATTGCATGTTCTCACTTACAAGTGGAGCTAAACCCTGTGTATCCAAGAACATAAAGATGAGAACAATAGACACTGGGGACTCCAAATGGAGGGAGGTGTAGGGAAAGGCGCAAGGGCTGAAAAACCTCCTAGTGTGTACTATGTTCACTGTCTAGGTGACAGGATCAACAGAAATCCAAATTTCAGCATCACACAATATATCCTTGAAACAAATCCGCACATTTACCCCCGAACCCAAAATAAACAATAATAATATGCTGGTATAAATTACAGTAAATAGCAATTACCAGTGACACATGTATTTTAATCTCTGGCTCAAAGCTCTCCAATGATTTCCAGACCCTTACAACCAGTTTGACTAAGAAGCCTATTTGACTTCTTACTGTCACTGTCTCAAAGGCCCTCAACCTCAACCTCAACCTCATGATCTCTGTAACTGGCACCACAGTCTGCTTGGTTTTACAAGCCAGAAACCTGGGATTTATCCTGGGAACCTCTCTCTATCTCACCCTCCATATCCAATTCATCACCAAGTCCTGCTCTAACTCTGTTTACCTCTTAGCCTTCACTGCCATAACACTGCCTGTTCTCTTTCTTCTTTCTGTAATGACATTACCACTCCCATTCTTCAGTTTTCAGCTCAAGCATCAGGGAATCCACAGGGAAGTATTGCACCTCCACAAGGCTGAGGTCCTTTGTTTCATGTGTTGTAGCAATGTTTTCTTTTTCCTTTTCTTCATAGCCATTTACTTCAGATTTTAAATATGTTGTCACTAAGCTGATTACCTATTGTCTACCTTCTCCAATAGACTCTAAACTCCATGAGAACAGGGACCATGTCTGCTTTGGCTATCACTGTATCCCTAACACACACGAGGTACCCACAAACTACGGAATGAAAAAGATGAAAGCAAAAGGGTACAGGGTTAAAACAAAGTCTCACAATGTAACAACAGACCATTTCTTCCCATGGGCTTAGTAATCTGTTATACAAATTGCTGGTGAAAAGCCACAGTAAATTCAGAATTCTATGTTGTACCTGTTCTGTCTGCTCTGTTTTAGCAAACAAAACTAATTCTTACCATTTCAATAGCATCAAATTGAAAGCAGTTCTACATGTTCCAGTGAGTAACTGAGTAGCAGGAATTCATGATACATTAATTTAAACCACATGAAAAAGCTGAAGTGAACGGTTTCTCTTATGAGGGGACAAAGGAAGTAAATATGAAAACAGAAACAAGGTATGGCTGGTACAGCTGCCCTCACATCACTGTGCCTCAGCTGAATTAAGTTTCCCAAGAACTAAGGAGCTGGCACAACACAAGCAGCACAGACCAAATAAGAGACCAAATAAGAGCAGCAGCAGAGGGCGAGAGAACCAGCCTCAGCTCTCCACACAGACTCCAGCCTCTAGGTCTTGTCCATTTGTGGAATGAGGTTGGGAAATGAGTCATCTCTTACATTTCTAATATTCTTTGATTTTATATTAAAAACACCTACAGGACTATGTTTTATTTCTTATCTTCAAGCTTCCCATTTAGTATCAGCAGCAATGCTAATCCACTCTATAGCCTCCCCAAAGGCTAATCCACAAAATAGCCTCCCCAAAGATACTCGCTATTTTTACCTTGCAAGCATTTAAAACTAAGACAGTTTTAAATAACCTCAGGATGTGATATTTGCTTACTGCTTCATGAGGGCAAGGTCCTTGTCTGTCTTGTTCAATACTGTATCCAGGCTTTGCTCAATAAAGTACACAAAAAAAATGCCTTTTGAATAAAGAAATGTATTTACAAAGAGGCCATGTTGGCTAAAAATAAAAATTGTACTTAAAAGAACAAAGCCATGTGCTGGCATCCATAAAATTACATATAAAAATGTATGTGAATTCATAAGTGTGTTTTTCTGGAAAAAAAAAATCATAATCTTTTTTTCATCAGATCAAAGGGCCAAAAGCAGCCATAAAACCACTGTCTTAAATTTCCAATTATACATAGATACTTGAATAAAATGTGGAAACTGTCCTGTTAAATTAAAGGATAAAAGATGCTCTCCTGTGGCTCTATTTCAAATGAGCCTATAACTGGAATAAAACTGCTAAATTAATACTGAAGTTTCTGTAGTCTGCCACAAGTACCTGGTCATAATTTTCCTTCACTGGGATGCTTTATAAAAAAGCCTAATCAGTGATATATTTTCTGCAGGTATATACTAAATGGTGATAAATAACAGATCCTTACATAAACGGTATAAACTTCTCATGTATTTTGTATTTATTCATATAATGGTCCCTTGACTATAATTTATGCAATCAATGGAAAAGGTGAACAGAAATAACGGCTGCAATTTAAGGATATTGTAAAGAGGCTGTTATCCTGCTTATCTCCTTTTCATAGGCTGAGAAAAAAGCTTAATCTGGAACAGGAGCATTCCCAAGTTAAGACTCAATAATTCTTTAATGAAAGATTTTTTTATATCAAAATATAGATAATTCCTGTGGAATCCTCTCTCCTGGCTTTTCTGAATGAAGGTCAACTTACTGTCTAAAGTAATTACAGCTTTGAGATCCTAGAGACAAGTGAGGGCACACAGTAAACATCCTGAAATTCCTCTATAATTTCAAAAGTGCCAAAAGGGGTTGGGACTCTTGAAGAGGTTACCTGAAAATAAATTCAGATTAACTCATAAAATACAAACTAATATGAAAGAGGGAGAGAACAGACCTGCTTCTGATGAGTGCCTATGCGATCTTAAATGTCAGTCTAAGTAAGCTTGTCAAAAAATTTATTTTAAGGTAGGCTGACAGTGATTTGAAATGACAAGTCTTGAAATACAAATGTATTCATCTAGTCTAAATCATTAGCAGTCATCCAACGACTTATTCCTTCCTCCTCTAGCCAATCAGCTTCGGCAACTTACCTCCTTCATATTTCTCACACAAAGTCCCTTACCTTCCCATTTTTAATGTCACAACTCCAGATCAGGTTCTTATATCTCTTCTCTAAAATATTACATTAACAGCCTTAGCCCTTAATCTATTTGATATACCATTGCCATATTAGTTCCCCTAAAAATCCTGATACAACTTTGCAACCTTTTTGCTTAAAAGCTTCAGTGATTCCTCACTGCCCACAGATTAGTATTTCAGCTTTTCCTATTTTTTTTTTTCTAGCTAAAGAAAATGTCTGCAACTGTAGTAAAAATTGCTATGTGCTCACAGGAAAAAAATCTCACAAAACTAGGAATCAAAATTAGATAAAACATATATAATTATGGAAACATTTTTAAAAATGAATCTAATGAAAGGAAACACTAGTATGCCTCCAGATGTTAGCAGTTATTCCATGAAAGCAGGCTAACTATCAAATAAATCTGTGACATACTGGGTTCAAAAAAGTTAAATATATTTCCTTAGAATTTCAGAAAGCCTTCAATATGCTAAGTTCAGAGTAAATCTTCAAGAAGGCATAGACTATTTCCCAAATGTATTCAATCATAGAGTCCATTCTGGGGAATACATTAACATTTCAAAGCACATATTCCAAGCAACACAACATCTGAGGAACATCTCCTGGAAGAAACCGAAAGTGCTATAAGGTTCCAGATTAGTGGGCTGCCTATCTGGGTACATAAGAGGTTAGGGAAAAAGAAACAGTTTCAGGTATCCTCTTTCATTTACTTCTGCTTCTGGCATCATCAGCTTAAATGGAACTGCCATATTGCTAGCCCCAATACTGACATCAGAAGACAAAAACATATAGTTCACAGAGCCTGTCAGCACTACAGGGAGATGAGCCGCAGTGTCACTGTGCCTTCTTCCTGTGTCTACCTGATATATAATATTTACTTCACATATGGATTACATTCAAGGTCTTTCATCACCTGATTTTAGCCTAGCTTGTTTCCTCAACTGTAAACAAAAAGGATCAGAAATGATAACTATGAAGATTCCTTCTAAAACTGATATAAGGTTTAATGGGTTTATTTTTAGTTATTCTGCATCATTCTCCTTCATGCACAGTATTTATTTCAAAAAAAACGACTCTACTCTGTTATTAAAACACTAGAATATACTGGCCCTCATGTCTTATGCAATCCCACTACCCAGATTTATTTTCCCACTCAAAGAAATGCTAATCATTTCCCAAAGCCCAGCTCAAAAGCCCCTTCTTCCATGAAGCTCTGATATTCCTACCCTCACAAAAATGGAATAAAATTCTTTTCACTAGATAGCTACGGTATGTTTTTTGTTCCTCTCAAGGCACAGACTTTACAGTCACTGATGTACTTTAGAACTTCACCACTACTAGGGTAGTCTTACTGATTTCTT